GGTAGTTTGACATGACACTCCACGCCAAACAGGAGCTGATGGTCACGATATCTATAGGTGGCAAAGTCGTTCATGAAGTGGCTACAACTCATGTGTCGTGCAAAACAAACTTCCCACGTTTTTTCGTTGAGGTAGCAAGTGAAAGAGGTTGTTTGCAAGTAGCCCTTAATTCGTTTGATTTCCCACACGTTCCTCATGGAGTCCGGTGATTTGGCGGAGGTGTCCCGCCGAATCCGGTGTTTGCAGCGGAAGCTGCGTCGTCGCCGCGTGAAGGAGGATGCGCAGCAAGGCTTTTTAAGCCCCAAGATGGCAAGCTCAGCACTTATGGTTTATGTTTTTAGCGGCCATGACTTGGATATGGCTGCCCAATTCTTGGCTTTCAAGTTGCGCCTTGCAGATGACCGCATGGAAGACATGCGCTGCATGTTTGAGCAGGTTTACACGCAAGAGCCAACTCCCCAGATTGTGGATTTGATGAATGACCGATGCCTTATGGCCAGGAGCCTGCGAGTGATGACAGCTGCCTGCACTTTCATCCTGCAGCGACGCCTGTACACGTGGCTTTGTCAACAAAATTGCAAGCATGGAGTGGCTCCCAGCAGGCTTCAAATGGTCCGACGTGCCCTTGCACTGGTGCCTTTAGAGTGTCCGCTGGAAGTGCAAGCCTCTGTTGCGGCGTCCTTGCGAAGCTCTGCGCGGCAGCAACGGAAGTGGCTGCGCCGTTTCCGACAAGTATGGGGAGCTCGTTTGGGGGTGCTGAAAAACATTTCAAGTTTGTCACCCCAGGACATGCAGGAGAAGGCAGGGCAAGTTTCAAAATCGTACCACTATTTGTTCGGGCCCCTAACAAAAGCTATGGGGACTGTGACTCCACTTTTGGTAGTTGTTTTCCGACTCCTAAAATGGTAGCCGTCCTGGTGCAAAGGATAGGAAAAGAAAAGATTGACGTTGGCGACTCCAGTTTTGGGAGTTGTTTTTGGATTCCCAAAATGGGAGTCGTATTCTGGGCTGATTTGCGAGGCCTTTGCCTATTTCCGTTGGGTGAATGGTGCCTTGGCCCAGAGCGCAAAGGCGCCGTTGATCATCAACATGGACGAGGCTTCTGTAGCGTTCCATTTGAGTGGCCTGGTTGGTACAGTGTTGAAAACGGGCCCTTTTACTTCATTACGCCCAGGGGACAGCGTCAAGCTCAGCGCGCGCAGGGGAGCTCTGACCTACATAGCTTCCATTTGCGACGATCCTACAGTCAATGATTTGTTGCCCCAGATATTGCTCGGAAATCCTCACCAATTTGTGCTACGCACAATACGGGCTGTGCAGTCAGAGCTGCCTGCAAACATTTTTCTTTGGCGGGAAGAGAGCTCTTGGAACAATGCTAGGATCATGCAGAAATACATCGACCTTCTTTGCAGCCGGCTGGGAGGAATTCTGGAGGAACGGACTGTTTTCCTGGTTGTTGATATGGCAGCTTGCCACATACAGCCAAGCGTCCATTCGCACGCCTTGGAGCAAGGAGTCTTGTTGAAGCTTTGGGTTTGTAGAAGTCAGTTGCCTTACAGTCTTACAGTTAGCTTGGAAAGCATGGATCCTGTGGAGCCTGCTGCGGCGTTGCCAGAAGTGACGCAAGATGTGCCAGATGCAGACACACTGAAGGAGGTAGCAGGGCGACTTGTGAGGGACCTTGACTTGCACCAGTGTAGCATCAAAGAGTGTAGAGCCAAGGTTGCAGTTGCTTGCGGGATGGAGCCTGATGGGCTGGAGGCTCGAAAGGATGAGTTCAGCGCCTTGCTGAAAGAAGTGGTGGAATCTCTTGAAGCTAAGAAAGCAAGCCAACCGTCCAGCTGTAGTGAAGAGCTTGGTGCTGAGTGCAACAAGCCGAGGAGAGCTTACTTAGTGACGTTGTCTCACACAGACAAGGAAGAGAATTCAGATGGACAAAAGTTGGTGGCTCCTGGGACTTACACCCGTGCGCAAGTCAAAGACTTTTTCTTAGGAGCTCTTGCTTCCACCCAATCAAGCAGAGAGCTGCCTCTGACCTTCACACACATGGCAGTCTTTCAGGAGCGCCACGCATCAGATGAAGTTCATTACCATGTGGCAGTGTTAGCCGACAAGTCTTTCCGCTTCGTGGCCTTGAAGCGCCAACTGCTGGCTGCGCATGGCCTAGCCAGTCATTGGTCTGGAAAAACAGACGGGTATGCTGGCTGCATTGCCTACTGCTACTTGCCTTCGCCCACAAAAGCCGTGGAAGAATTGGATCCCGCACCTGAGCTGTGGCCTTCCACTCACCCACCTTTGTCTGAGGCCAGTAGAGGGTATGTGAGCGCCAAGAATTTGGAAGTGCATCGTGAGGAGCAAAGGCGCAAACGTGCAGCCAAAGGCAAGGGAGAGCAGCGTGTCCGGGAAGTGGATTTGTGGCCCATCATTATCCGGGAAAACATCCTGCCAGATGAAGTGTGCGGAGAAAAGTTGATGTCGTATGCCAAGCGCAGTGGTGGCCGAGCGTTGGTTGAGTTTTGTTTTGCCAACTGGGACAAGCTTCCTGCCATTGTTGCCAAGTCATGGAAGACTGAGAAGGTTGAGGACTTGGTTGCAGCAGCTGCGCAGAGCCGCATGGACATCTTGGCAGGAGCTTGCAGTGCTGAGTGCACTTGTGGCGGACAATGGGCCGACTTTGCTCGAGACATCCTTTGCCAAAATGGGCACAATCCAGTCCAGTGGTGCAAGGCGGTGACGGATTCGCTTTTAGCAGGACGTTCGAAAGGCAACCTTGTGTGCCACGCAGGGTTTGAAGGTAATGAAGGCAAAAGCTTTTTGTTTCGCCCCTTGCCCTTGGTCTTTGGTGAAGACAATGTTTTCGTGACCCCTCCAAAGAGTGCCTTCCCTTTGCTTGGCTTGGAAAAGGCCAGAGTGGTTTGGCTCGATGACTGGAGGTTTAATGAGGACATCGTCTCCTGGGCGGTGCAGCTATTGTGGTTTGAAGGCGCTGGCTTTGTCATCGCAAGGCCGCAGAATTTGTTTTCCGGCCACTTGCGTTACACGAAAGACGACCCTATTTTCATTACCACCTTGCAAGCAGATTTGCATGCCTTGAAAGGGAAGCTGAAGCAGGGCGATGTCGACATGATGGTGAAGCGGCTGAAAGTGTTTGAATTCAAGCACAAAGTCAACATTCCCAGCCAGGTGGCCAAAGGTTGCAAGTCCTGTTTTGCAAATTTCGTGTTGGAGCTAGGGCAAGCAAGGAGCCACCGCTCTGAGCCTGCGAAAAGGGAGGCTACATCGTCGGGTGAGACACCTGAGCCCAAGAGAATGTTGTGTTTGGCCTGGACTGTTGATGACGTCTGCAGGTACATCATACATCTGGAGTTGGGGCATGTGATTGAAGCCTTTCGGGAGAATGGGGTGGATGGCCGCATGCTGGCATCTTTGTCCGAAGCAGATTTGATCTCTGAGCTCGGATTGAAGCCCTTGCAAGCCCGCAAAGTCAAGGACCGCTTGACTTAGAAACTTGAAAGCCCAAAGGGAAAAGATAAGTCGCCTGCATGATGTTTAAGCGCCGCAAAATGCACAACGATTCGCATTGTAGCAGTGCAGACTGCAAACCACTCACTTAACTGTATGATACGTAGGCACTTTTGTGCTCACCCGCCATCTCGCCAGGTCCACAGCTGGGAGGGGCAGCCCTTCATGTCTCGAGCTCAGATGTGTGTTTCAGAGAAGCTTCAGGCTTCAGGTTCATCGGTGCACATGCCAGCTTGCTTAGGCTGCAGTAGTTTCATTCTTCGTGTTCTTGCTGTGCGAAGAGTTTGGTGGGTTATGGCTAAGTATTCTAGCTAGCAAGTGAAGGGGGAAGCGTATTTCTAGACACTGCGCGCTTTTGCCTGCGTGATGTGTGGTGTCAAACGGTTTAGTGCACCGCGAAATGCCAACACAGCACAACGATTCGCATTGTAGCAGTGTTCAGCTTCATGATATATACGTATATTTTGTGCTCAACCGCCATCTCGCCAGGTCCACAGCTCGGAGGGGCAGCCCTTCATGTCTCGAGGTCAGATGTGTGTTTCAGGGAAGCTTCACGTTCATGGGCGCACATGTCAGCTTGGTAAGGCTGCAGTAGATTCATTCTTCGCGACATTGCTGTACGAAGTGTTTGTTTGGGTCAGGCGTCGGAAGCTCAGAGGTACAGGATGTTTGTTTCACGTTTCCCCGGTTCCATTGAATGCAAAGGTTGACTATATTGAATGGCTAGGTCAAGGTTTGTCTTCAGGTTCCCCTCTAACACCCCAAAGTGGCAATGTTGGTTTTCCGAAGTGAAGCACTGAGGGTTGGTCCTTTGTTTTGTCATGGGCTGAGATACAACCTGGACACCTAACCATTTTGAACAACGTTGCACAGCAGGGGGCCCGGGGGAAGTAGGACGCCTCGAGTCACAATTCTCACTTGGCTTCGAGTTTTGTGTTGGGCGTTGCTTCTTTTTCACGCAGCTTTCAGCAGTCTAGCTCTTAGCAGTGTGTGGTGTGTAGCCGCAGAGACCATGCCATCAAAAGCTAAAGCCGCCCCTAAAGCACGAGCGGCAGCCGGAGCCTCAGCTGCAGGTAATAGAATCCTGTCTTTGGTGGGAAAATGGACAAGAGGGGGTTTCCAGTTTGGGAGTCGGAATGCGGAGTGTTTTTGGCGCCGTTGCGTGCGGCCTCACCTGTAGGTGAAACTGGGCTTGGCGGATCTGTCTGTCTTAGTGTGCCGCCGGAGCCTTGCATTTGTCACTCGGCCGAGTGGCTGCATTCGTGATGGGGCTTTGGCTTGTAACAGCCCTGCTTGTAGCACAGATGATATCCCCTCTGGCATCGAGGGCCTGATCCTTTGAACCCACATACACCCCTTGTTGAAGGCAAAACACAACGGCTTACCATCCGGGGTCTTGGTTACGCAGCCAGGTGGGATGTCGATGGTTCCTGATTTTGTCTTTGTCTTACCTTTCACCTTGCCTTTGCCCTTGCCTTTCTGATATTTGCTAGGACGATCGGATGCGTCGGATGTCGGCCTTTTATCGGGCTTGGGATTGGTCTTGGGCGCAGGTCGGACTGGCATGGGCATCAGATATGGCATCAACACTGGGAAGTGCGAAGCGCCTTGATCTCCTTGTCCAAGGGCGTCATTGAGCTGCCTGGTTCACGCTGCAGTTGGCCAACTAAATTGTTGGATGCCCGGATAAACATCTGCTTGTCGCATTCAATGATCTGCTGTAAAGTGACTGAAGAAAAACCTGAGGGTTGAACTCTTTCATGCGACAGAAAAAGATGTTGCACCCACATTTCTATCTCCTTGAATGAACAGAGTTTGGCCTGGTCCATTGCTAGGGATCTGCGCTGCAGGGCATTCCGAAGGTCCAACTCTGAACTGACAGCACAGGTGACTGTCACTGTCTTCGATGTGATCTTGATGCTGCCACTTGCGTCCAATAACACCTTTGGGTCGCGCTTCAAACTTTGGATCTCCTGAGATCGTGATGTACATTCTTCTGGTTTGATCCAAGTCAAGACATTCTGCTCCAGCATGTTGACGCAGAGATCCACTAGCGCATGGCTCGGAGTTACCTCTGGTGAGAACATGATGCCCTCCAGCCTTGTCTCCTGTTCTAACTGGCGAGCCTGACGTTCTGCCATTGGCAATTTCCTATGAGATAACTAAGGCGTGGGATTCCACCACAAGTCTACGGATGCATGATGTCTGATAAGGACTCAGATCTCTATTGGTGACCTTCAAGAGCCATGCATCCAAGATCGCATCTGTGATTTGCTGTGGAGTTGTAGATACTGCAAATGCAAGAGACCCGAACGTCTCAAAACCCTTTGTTTGTAATTCTCCTTTTAGTTCGTCCTCCACTCCGAGCTGTCTCATTCGTTCCGCAAAAGTGCCTTTGCTATCTAGAGCGGACATGGCTGCACTTCGATCCTGCTCAAGATGAAAATTGGGGGACATTACGTGTTCAAATTTTCTTTCTTGTGTTTAAATTCTCTTTCTTGTTTGAGACAGGCTCAGAGTACATTTTAAGTGATTAGATGAGTTGTCATGGTTTTGATATCATCACCTCTCTGATGAGGCCATCTACGCTGAAAATCGGGCTGCGGACAGGCAACAAAAATTTCACGTGAGTCATTGCGGATACATCACTTGTGACTCAAACATGAGATTGGCTTTGATGCCACAAGCAAGTGATTATCCTTTCAATGTCAGGAGACCTGTCAAACGTGGCTCTGATGCCAGTTTCTTCACAACATGCCCCCAGCTGCGCTCCTTTTCCTTTTGCTCCACCGACCAATCGCTGTTCTGTCTGCAGGTGTCTGATGAACTCTGTTGTTCCCTGGCGGTCATCGATCTTCAATGATAGTTTGGATATCCAGTACAATTTCCTGGGTCAAAGATATGATTGTTTCGAGCGGCTGATTGGGAGGACATGCAAGGATCCATTCCTCTAACACCGACAAGGCCAAAGTCAGCTTCGAGGGTCAATGTTGTCTGGTCCAACTCACGTATCGTCCGAAAGCCTCTGGGTTGCTGACTGATGGTGCCAAGTGAGGCGATGGTGATGTTCACAGTGTGTTCTATGGGCACCCCTCGCATAATACACAAGGCCCGTCTCGACAAAACCCACACGGTGGCGAGGTGCTCAGTGATGCATGAATAGCCGATATGCCTGATCACCTTTGCTAAGAAGTCAGACATCCCTCGACTTTGTACAACAACTCAGATGTCATAGATGGGTCGAGCTCCAACCAGGCACAAATTGTAACTAAAAAGACTTCAGTTGCAGTCCTCGCCATTGCGCAGGACCGAGAGATATGAAGGGCTCAGATGCCGTTTAATCCTGCTGTGAGCCAGAGCCTATGATCTCTGTTGATCATCTGACTCCCATACCACAAATGATCTCTGTTATCACATCCATGGTAATGGACCTCTGATGGTCTTCATTTGTGCATGGCATGGTGTCAACACTTGTGATTATGATTTCTCAAGGTTACTTCGACACCTACTTCACTAAGGAAAGCGAGTTGCTGCCTCGCCCTCTTTTTCTTCACGCTGCGATGTTGCGTCCGCACCAAATGCAGCATTCCATGTCATATATGGCTGCTCTTTCCAACGCTACATAATTGGCAGAAACATGACGGCTACACAAGGTTGTGGCACCTGACGAGGCCAATCCATGGACAATGCCACTCTGTCTGTGGACAATGCAACTGACCTCCTGCTCCCCCGGAAATGGTTTCCTACCTACAGTTTCTTCCTGGGATTCAACGACTCCGATCAGGCGCTGCTCTTCCAGCTCGGCTACTACCAGGCATGGCATTGGGTCCTTTTGCTTGAGTGGGGCTTTGCGTAGGAATTGCTGGTGGGCAAAATCCGAAACCCACATTGACAACAGCAACCCCAGATCGGCACATGTTAGGACTGCCACCGAATCCAAGAATCTCAAGGTCTCCAAGAAGCTCGATGCTGCTGTTGCACCTGCTTTTCCACTTTCTAAGTGTCCTAGATACGAGTAGATGTCAAATTCCTTTAATATAAGGGGAGAGCCCCGGTGATTAAGCAAAAAGAACCATTCTACATATCTCGTTAGGGCACATGCTCTGAAAGAGAGTGTTTGAGGATTTCTTCGAGAAGGCTTGTTCAAGTGACTTACGGATGTCATTGCCACACAATACTCTGGATGATACTGGAACCAGAAGTTCCCCCAGCCTCGTCGTCGTCGGATCTATGAGCAGGATGCTTTTCAGCTTGATCAAGCTAGGATCTCTTAGATCGTCGTCGGACATCCGGATTTGGAACTGCCTGCAAATCGCGGCTACATGATGATGATGATAGAAAAAGGACTACTGAGCGGACTCTGAGTGCGCCCTGAATGCCGTAGCCCTTACTGTCATTTTCACTTTAAACCATGTTTCACCTCCCGGTTTCACCTTTCTCTCGTTTCTCACCACTCTCGTTGCGACCCGACGTTGTCGGTGTTTGCTTCGAAGTGCTTGGATGAATATCATGCCGGTACGGCTGCTCTTTGTGATCTCGGGGATCCTGGCTGGGGGATCCCTGGTTTCCGCATTGGGCTTTTGTTGCTTCTATCACCGATGTGGCCATTGGTGTGTTTTTGCTTGGTTCTGTTTCGTGTTATTTTGGGCCATTCTCAGAATGACACATAAGATGTCATTATGCATGGAATTCCCACTGCTGGTCGCAATCTTTTTTCTGTCTTTTTTGGCTGGCTTTTGTTTTGGTTGTTTGTTTTTGTTTGTGTGTTCCTTTCTGGTTTGTGTTGTGTTTGATGGGATTGCTCACTGGACTGTGTATTGGTCCACTACCAGCTCTTTTGAGGCTGCTGATCCAATTGACAGCCTTGCAAGCAAATTACAATTCAGCTTGTCTGCTGCGGTTGAACGTGTGTAACGACTTGGCGAAAGCCATGAAGGCGTTGGACGGAAAAAAAGTCCCTACCATCCGGGTCGGCTTCTGGA